ATGATAAATTTGAGTACTAGTCAATAAAGTATTGAAATTAAGAGACCTTAGAATCTTTCAATGAGTCAAGTTGAAGGGGTACATGTGGATTTCACTTCATGTTGAAAGGGAAAGTTAGAGACATAAATTTCAAACAGAAATAAAACACTAAATAGAGAGAGAGAGAGAGAAGGGGAAAGGGAAAGAGATAGAGAGACAAAAGAGAGATAAAGAGGTGAGACTAAAAGTCTGACAATAACCTAGATGCATCCTGTTCTTTATTTGGATTTTAACAACAAAAAGCATCCCATTCTACCTACCTACATTTACTGATGAAGAAGACATTCAAAAAACAGGCAACCTAACAAAACCTCTTCTATTTACATCATCATGCCTCACTATCGGCAGTCTAGCCATCACCAGAGTACCATTTCTCATAGGTTTCTACTCAAAAGACCTAATCATCGAAGCTGCAACCACGTGCTATACCAAAGCCTGAGCCCTTTTAATTACACTAGTTGCCACTTCTTTAACAGCTGTATACAGTATGTGAATTATTTGCTTTGCCTCCATAACCAAACCTCGATTCCCCCTCTTATTATCAATGAAAACAACCCCAAACTAGTAAAACGAATTAAATGCTTAACAATTGGAAGCATCCAAGTAGGCATCTTTATCTCTCACAATACCCCAACCACCACTTTTCACATTATAACAATATCATGACATCTAAAAACCACAGCCATTCTAGTTACCATAACAGGCTTTTACCATCTCACTAGAACTTAATAATTTAGCCTCCAAGTTAACATTAAAAACCCTTCCCCAACCTCACTTTTCTCAACATCACTAGGCTGTTTCCCCCTAATCATCCATTGAACCTTACCTACTCAAACTCCAACAATAAGCTTAAACACAGTCTTAAACCTCTTAGACCTTACCTGACTCGAAAAAGCTATCCCCCAAATCACCTCAACTATGCACATCTACCCTTCCCAAAATTTAAGCAATCAAAAATTCCAAATTAAACTGCTTCTTTTTCTTCCTAATTACACTCCTATCCATCCCATCCTACTAACTACCTAATTACCTCAAGTAATCTCAGTAATAATAGATACCTATAAATAGAGTTCACCCAGACACTACTATAAGCATGCAGAGCAACTATATAAAGCCTCTACCCCTACACCCCTTCTCCCATTAACCCCTTTTCATCACCATCATAAACTACTCTACCATCCATACTATTAAATTCCAATACTATTTCTACCCCATCATAATAATTCATCACAAACAACATCCCAAGCTCCATAAAAATACTTACCACTAAATCCCTAACACTAATCAACTTGATAATCAAGTTTCAGATATAGCAGATATATACCATCACAGATATAGCAGTCATATACCTCAAAACAACCATCATCGCCCCTAATATATTAAAAATACTATCAACCATAAAAATGACCCTCCAAAGCTCCCACCCCTCAACAACCCACACACCCAACTGTTTATTGGGTTAATTTAGTTTGTTACAACAGCCCACTAAGCTGTTAAGCTGTTCTGGGAATCCCACTAATGTTCTCATATTTAATTCAAATAAAAAAAATTGTTTTTGAGCAAACAGTGGCCTCCCTTCCTCAGGAAGTGAACATTCCATATCAAGATAATGTTCTTTGTATTTCACAGAAGCCCTGTGGCCAAATGTGGCTGGGACCATTCCCTAGGCAGAATGGAAAGCAAGGTGATCACAGGCAAGCATGCATTAATTTTTCTCTACCCTTGACTGAACATGTAATATGACTAGCTGTTTCAAGTCCCTGCTGCCTTGAGTTCCCACACTAACAGAGTCCTTATAAGTAACAAAAGGGAACTAAAGACACAGACTTTCAAATTTGTCCTGAACTCTCCTGGTCAGGGAAATTGATCACTAACATAAAACCTTTCTCTCAAAGGTTTAAACTCATCTAAAACTTTCCCTGTTTTAGAATAGTGATGATATCTCCCCCTTTAAGCATCCTGGGAAGGCTGGCAATCTAGATACTAGAAGATAACTTTTTTTCTCTTATTGTTCTCAAAATATATCACCCCTTCGCTTCTTAGCAAGCAGACAAAACTCAAGGCTATCAGTATCTGTTCTGTACAATTTGTAACTCTTAGTATGTATAGCAAAGAAAAGAATTATCTATTAAAAGAACTGCAAGAGTGGGTAACATATACTCAAAACAGGTGTGTAGGACAATATGTATGGGTAAAACATGAAGAGGCTGAAAACTTAAGAAAGAAACTTTTGATGTGGAAAATTTTCATATGCGTATAGATTTATTACTGCACAAAGTCTAGAGACATTTTTCCTAGTATGTTCCTGTTATAGATCCACTGAGCTTAGAAAATGTCGTAGCACACTTCAAGCTTAGCAGAAAATCCCGAATGGCCTTGGATGACTGGAGGAAATAAAAAAGGAAGTACCTGGAAATGAAGTGATGTTAATAAGGTTTACTACATGATATCAAATACATTTAGTTCTTTGTTCTTTGGTTGGGCTAAGTTACATTCAGCTTGCCTTTGCAGTGAGGAACGTGCTGGAGAATGATGCACAGCAGCTTGTTGAGATGTTTAACAGTGGCTTTTCTCTGTAGGGTGGGGCTGATAGTAGAAGAGGTTGCTACACAACTGGACTTGTATGGTAACAGTGAGAAAGCCAATGTCTTATACAAGACCAAGTTCTAAGGAGAGAAGTGCCTTTTAGTAGCAAGATAGGCAACACGGCCAGATCAACAGATTGGAAAAGATGCTAGTAATTTTAAAAAAGCAATATATCTGGAACCCTATATATTATTAAGGCTTGTGCTTCACATGTCTCAAGGTATAGGAAGAAAGACTTATATGCATGGTTTCAGAGGGCCCAGTCCATTACGCTGAGGAGGTAATGGTGGCACACACCAGTTCACATCGTGGTACTCCAGAAGCAGAATGAGTAATGTATAGTGCATTAGCTGGAGCTACCTTATTCTTTGTTTTTTTTTTTCCCTTTTACCTCCAAGTTTACCCAAACCCTAAGCAAATGTTAAGTGCCCCCAAATTCAAGATGTTTTCACTCTTCCCACTTAGTTAATCTCTGAAAATGTCCTTAGACACAAATGCAGTGGTGTGCTTTACTGGTGGTTTATATGGGTTTCAAAATCCTGAGAAACTGTCTTGGTCAGGAATGATGCTGATTAATATACAATTAAAATTGACCAAAAATAGATGAGCAGAAAACTGAGGTGGTCTTCCTTAAATCAATGTTATAATATCCTGATTTATTTCTCATCATAATCCCCTTTTTAAATGTAGAAATAGAAAGAATTGACCAGGTTCTTAGGCAGAAAAGTATGCTTGTCACCATAAGAAACATGTAGGGTCAATTCTCCCAGTCATTCCTGGAAAGTGTCTGGCTATGTTCAGTCACAGCAACATCCTGAGGAAATAACCCGACATTTCAGGGTCTGCTGGCTAATCAGTTGGTATAATAACTTGGTGTGAACTCAGGGGAGTATCCTTGAAAGGGCACTAAATCTTGAGAACAGCATTAGCAAAGAGGTGCCAGCAGGACTTCAGCATCTGGTAACTTTCAGTACTAGAGTGTTGGTCCTCAAAATCCTTAGGATAAGTACCAAACAGTGTTCCTAGCTATATTTTAAGTGGGCACAGGTCCTCTCTACCTGATGCTCCGGGGGGCACATGCCAATGTATATGATACCTAATGATGTTAATTCCCAGATGGAAAGAATGTCAGAGCTTTGAAATAATGACAGACCCAAGTAGATGTCAACTATGTAACTAATTGTCTTGGAGGCAAGGCAGACACCAAGTCACAACAGAAAGTCCTCATTAGGGCAATAGCTAGAAGATTTGTGGGATGCCAACTGTCCCTGGGACCACCAGCATGCCACACATACTTGAGCAAGCTGCAGGCATGACTTTACAAACCAAGAAAGCTTCTTGGTTGATTGAGATCAGCACAGGCATTAAGAATGCCTGGAGTAAACGGAGCCTGTGGACGTGGCTCAAAGTTAGGCTGGAGACTGCTATCATATGTCTGAATACAGGTGAGTTCTGGAGAGTCCCTGAGTTGGATTTTGAATGACATTATTGCACATGAACAGTGACCTTCACCACTATCTCTGAGAGTCTGCAGCAGTGCCATCCTTATCACATTGCTGAACTCCATTATGGTACCAGGGTAGGTTCATTATTCAAATTACTAGCAGAAACATGCTAACCATTTTTTTAAACAATTGGCCTATCTTATAGAGAAAACATCTCAACACTTTCAGTAAGAATATAAGGGTTTCTCTCCCAAGGCAAAGTAAAGGAAATCCAAAACAACAGTAAAACATTACATTTGTTTTAGATTTTGTTTTTGACACCAGTAAATGTTAATGGTGATTTGATTTTTTTTTTTTTGACATGTCAGATTTGTCAGAGAAAGTTATTTTTTTAGATGTAAGATATTTAAGGAGGCTATTGACTTTTTCAGGGCAATTGGACTGAAATCAACCATGTGTGAGGTTATTTATGGTGGCTATTTTATGACAAGCAATTTACTATAACTCTAGCCCTGTCCTTTTTTTTTTTTAAAGAAAAATAACATCCATTTCTCATTTGTTTAATAAATTTCTTATTTGACTTCCTATTATTCCAGGATTTGTGCAGAACTAAAATATTATGCACTTTTAAAAAATAAATGAAGTTCTTTTAAGTAATTTTAACTTTCTTTTTTTTTTTTTTTGTATCAAGCTTTATTTTTCTCTTTCCTTTTTCCTCTGCCTCGGGGTCTACTGAGCTATGCCTTAATTCAAGGCACCTCTTATACTGCAGTATCCATCCACCTATAAGCCTGTTTCCAGAATTCTTCCTGCTGGTTCACTTCTATGTCTTCGTTTTAGAACACAGATCTTTGCCTTTATGACACATAGTTGGAATGCAATGCATATGTAAAGGAAATACATGGTAAATTACATTTCGGGGCTGGATGTCTGGATGGCATTCCAGTACTTGACTACACCAGGGGTCAGAGCAAAGGTGTAAACCAGGATGTTTAGCAACAGAAATCTACTGATGTAGTTGTTGGATCAGAAGTGTAAGTCAAGGTATTGGCAGGAAGAATTGTTTCTAAGCCAGCAAGATAGGTAAATTGATTTTGCCTCTGCCCCTGACACGAACATTTTCCTTGCGGCTTTGGTGATTCTTGGCCTCTGTTCTTTTTCCACAGCCTCTGCCTCTTCTTTGCATGTCTTTTCCCATTTGTGCATCTGTCTGGAAACCACACCTTTATATTGATCTTTGGATCACATTCTCTACTTAATAACTATGCCAAAAATAATGACAATTAATAAATAGGTTCACTACTAGTATTAGAAATGGTTAGAGGGAGAACTTGATTCTACTTCTTACATCCCCTTACACTGACTTTCCTGAACAAAACTTTGCATTTGCTGAGAATGGAATAACATTACTACTCACTATAGTACGTTTTTTTTTTTTTTTTGAGTTGGAGGTTAAGTTTTTATTCTGCTTTGTTTCCTACAGACACATCTTCATGTTGGCCATTATTTTTACTACAGCTAAATTAATTCTAAAAATTGTTGTCATTTCAGTAAACTTTTGAGGTTTTTTGTTGTTTTTTTGTAAGAAATTTTTTATTCATTTTACATACCAATCACAGATCCCCCTCTTATCTTCTCCTGCCCCTCCAGCATCCCTCCCCCAACCCACCCCCAATTCACTAGGCTAGTACATTCAGTTGAGGCAGGTCCAAGCTCCTCCCTCTGCCTCAAGGCTGTGTCATGTGTCCCACTACAGGCAGTGGGCTCCAAAAAAAACAGTTCATGCACCAGGGACAGATCCTGTACCTACTGCCAGGAGAATTAATACCTAGGAAAAACTTAGATTATGTCTTGGTAATACTAATCACTACTCTTACAAAATAACTAACTTTGGATAGTTATATATTTTAATGAATGTATTGATTTATCCAAGGTGATTGTTTAATTGAAATATGCCAAAATTTGTGTTGTATTTATTTTCAACTAAGAGATTTTTACTGCCATATCTTTTTTTGGTAAAGTCAATTAATGAAGGGTCATGATATTTGCTGTTACTACATGATATTTGCTAGTACTCATTATGATGATATATGACAGTCATCTGTCACTAAAAAGGAAAAAAAATCAAGTAGACAGATAGATTCATGGAGCTGACAAAAGGCCCTAGCAGGTAAAGGTATGAGCTAATAAGCCTGCTGATCTGAGTTGAATCTCCAAAAGCAATGTGGTAGAAAGATGACCACCACTTCAGGTTGTCCATGGTGGTATTGTGTTCCCTGAAATATTGTGCATGCTAATAAACTGATCTGGGGTCAGAGACAGAGCAGCCACAATATTAAACATAGAAGATAGGCAGTGGTAGCACATGCCTTTAATCCTAGCATTCCAGAGGCAGAGATCTACCTGGATCTCTGTGTGTTCAAGGATACAGCCAAGCATGGTGACTCATGCCTTTAATCCCAGAAAGTAAGCCTTTAATCCCAGGGAGTGATGGCAGAAAGCAGAAAGGTATATAAGGCGTGAAAACCAGGAACCAGAGCTAGTTAAGCTTTTGGCTGATTAAGCTTTTAGGCTTTGAGCAGCAACAGTTTAGCTAAAATTCATTTGGGTGAGGACTCAGAGGCTTCCAGCCTGAGGAAAATAGAATCAGCTGAGGAACGGGCAAGGTGAGGAAGCTGTGGCTTGGTCTGCTTCTCTGATCTTCCAGCTTTCACCCCAATAACTGGCCTCAGGTTTGTTTTTATTAATAAGACTCTTTAGAGATTCATGCTACCGTTGTCCTCTAACACACACACACACACACACACACACACACACACACAAATTATACCCCCCACTATAATAAATTAATTGATTAATTAAAATTTAGATATATTTGTGGTATATTGCCAGAAAGAATATTGTACAATCTGGTGGCTATTGGCTTTCCCACCATCTCTTTCAGAAAAGTCATGTGACTCACATGCTTTATGCCTTTGTTGAAGAAATTGCTACCGTAGTTGCTTTTATGTACTATGTTTATAGATTTTTTTAGCATAAAATTGTAAATTTACATTTCTATACATTACTTTAATGTGGGGGAAAAAGAAACAGCCAGAAAATTCTCTCAGGCTGGCTAACGTAAGGAAGGAAAAGCTTCAGCATTATTCAATGTAAATGAGTAGCATATTGCATTATGATATAGCTGTATAAATGCATGTACTTTTATAATAATAAGACTTCAAGCTTATTTTTGTACATGTACTTTCTGAAGAACCATTAACACCTTTCCACCTGCTTGCACATTGTGTTTTATAGTGTGATATTGACAAAATGATAAAATTCTTGCTGTAATTTGTTTGCACATTATTTTTAAATGTGCTTCAAGTTTATATGCATAGGGATTGTAAGGCAATTAAAAAGAGAACAAGAACTTAAGACTTCAAAGTAATGGAAAAATTTTAATGATATCATAAAAAAGTTCACACTTCCAGAACTGTCTATTTTGACAAACTTGATCTCAGATTATTATGATTATTATTGTTATTATATTGTTTGATTTTTATTAAATTGTTTGAGGTATAACTGCCATAAAATCAACAGCAAATAAAGTTTGTAATTTGACTAATTTTGACTTACTTGATTCATATGTCACCACCTGCATGTTTACGTATCCATTACCCTCAATGTTTTCTTCTAACCTTTGGCTCTATGCCTCATCCCCTGTGCTTGTTATCACACTAGCTCAGCTTCTATTTTTTAAAAACAGTATAGGAATGCAATATAAAAGAATGCACATATGTTTTTGTATGGATTATGTGAGTCTATATATCTTTGTAAGAGTTATCCACATCCATGTTGATATAAATAGTTTACTGTTTTTATTGCTGAGCTGTATTTCTTTGTTCGGCTATATCATAGTTCACCCATTTACCTAGTGAAAGTCAGTTAGGCTCTTTGCAGTTTTGGGTTGCTGAAAGTGAAGAATTTGTAGTAATATACTAGCTTCTTGTGAGTATTCTCAGATCACTCAAACTAAAATTTGTGAGTGAATTGGCAGTATCACATACTAAATGTGTGTATATATATATATGTATGTATATATATATATATATGTTTTCATTTTCTAATTATATTTTTGAGATTATAATATAGTTACATTTCTCTCTTCCTTTTCATCTCTCCAAACTCTCTCATATACCCCTCTCTAATCGCCATCAAATTTATGGCTGCTTTCTTTACTAATTGTCATTGCATACATGTATGTATATGTGTATTCATATATCTTTTTAAATATAATCTGTTCAGTATATATAAGGTTGCTTTCATATGTTTTCAGAGTTGCCACTGCATAAGCAATTGGCAAGCTCTTCTGTGGGGAAGACTACTTCCCTTAACTACCAACTTACCTCAAGGACACCAATGAACACATGAAAGTATATGAGGGAAAGCATTTGCTAACTGTCTTCTCTACTGAACTCTGTTCAAATCTTTCATATGTTTTGTTACTTGTTCTTATATTTTTTTGTATAGTGTACTATTTTGCTCTCAAAGATGAGTCTCTATGTTTTATGGGATGTTTATTTTCAGATATTATAATTGGGTTTATGTTCCATTATAAGTTAATTCCTGTATGTTCTAGGAGATGTAGAATTTTTTTTTAGATTATAGCATGTACATATGCAGTTCTCTTATCTCATTATTCATAGAACAGATTTTTCCTTTGCTGAACTGATTTTGGACTGATTTAAAAGATACTTTTCTATGTATAAATGTGCCTGCTTTTAGACATTTTATTCTTCTCTTTCAATCTATTTAGATAGTGTTATGACAGTAAATCCATCTTGATTATTATGGCTATGTAATATGTTTTCAATCAACAGTAACTACTTCTGTTTTAACATGGTTGCTTTTTACAACCAAAATAAATGTTTGAGACAAGTAGGAGTGCAAGAATGTGGGAGGAAACCATGAGGGTCACTTTCAATATCTCTCCAGAACACATCAGAAACTCAAGGGGGGAAAGTGGCTACAGACACCAATGGCTCCTGTACCTGGTGGGGCCTGCTAGAGCCAGAGGATTCTGAGAAAAGCACCTTTAAACAATGCAGCAGCGCCAGCAATTTTCACTCCAAATATTAATGCTGATCCTGAGAGACAGAGAGAGAGAGAGAGAGAGAGAGAGAGAGAGAATCCTCAACAAAGCATTATTAATCAGAGAACATCCTGCTCCCAAAATGCCATTGTCTGAATTTTTCAGTTGCTTGAGAATGAGTTTTTCAGGCTACATAGATATAGATTTCAAGATAACTTTTTATCAGATTGTGATACCTTACATTCTTGGTTTTCTGTTTCAGTTGTTGAGCATTGTATGTCAAGAAATATTTTCTCTACTAGACCTTAACTACTAATTCTTAATTAGTCAGAGCTGCAAGGTGAGACCCTATCTCAAAACACGAACAAAACATCCCTGCCTTACTCTAAGTTAATAGGTTATGATTTTGTTAGGAAGTATAATAAAATCTATGTATTTTTCCATTTTTCAGATATTCAGATAAAAGTTTTATCTGTCTTTGCATGCATGTACCTCTTATTTGATTATTAAAGTCTTGGATGTGACCATTCTCTCATGGGCCAATCTTCCATTGCTTTCTGTAGCCTATATTCTTTTATATTTTCAAGAATTTCATTGAATCTCAATATATATTCTCCATTTCAGCCTTATTGTCTGCAGATAACTGCTTGAAAGATCTCTTTTTGACCGTCCTACTGTGGCACTGCATTTCCAGTTACCACTGCATTTCTTCTTCCAGAGAAAGAGAGTTCTGTCTTTGCTTTCCTACTCCATTTATTTACTCGAAGATCTCAGCTCAGCTTCCACCTTGGTAATTTCTGTTGGCAGGCATTGCTGGCTAATCAGAGGTTCAAATCTACCATAGCTTATCAGCTTTCTCTAAGCTGGGCAACATGGGGGACTCCCTTCTCCCAGAAAAAGCTTTCTGCTCTCTGCTTAGCCTTATCTGGAGGATGGCTCTAAGCCAGATGCCAGATTTCTCTTTAGTGTGACTTTTGACTCAGTGCCCTACAAATGCTCTTCCCCTGATGACCCACATGACAATTAGACAAATGCCCTAGCCATTTTGATAGGGCCATGCTTCCACTAATCCAGCTGCATGACAGGAGTGTGCCACTTAATACAAACTAGGGTTTTTCTCCAGGCTTCCCAATCCTATATATTCCTTATACTCTGGAATATATAAAGTTGAGCTGCTTTACTGAAGGCAATCTCCCAGACAGCTGTCTCCATTCATGCTCACAGGATGCCTACAAAAGCTACTTCTGCCCATTTACCCTCAAGGACTGATGTCCAATAAGCCTAGAGGAAAGAATGGATCCCTCACCATTTCTTTGAGGATTTTGTCATTAATTCTATATATTTCTGTAGTTATAATGTCCCTAAATCTGTTCTCATTTTGATTACCTTCCCCCCCCCAAAAAACACACACACATTCAATTCAGGCCTTACTGTATCTTTTCTAAGACAAAGTTTCTCTTATTTTTTTCTACATTGTTTTTCTTTACCTTGCTTTTCATATTTTCTCAGTATTCATATCTAGGTTTCCATACTGCTTCCTTGGACAGTTCATCTGAAAATATAGAGAGATGATGTAAAACCACACCCTGGGGACAGATAAATTCTTTATCATGCTTTTAAAGCCCACAACTACCCAAGTCTTTCATTTTTTCCTTAAATATTATTTTTTTTCTGTTTCCAACGTTTGCAAAGAAAGTGTTTAGAAGACATCTATTTCCTCTGTTTTCTTTGTGACTTGATTTTTTTTTAATTTTGTCCCCAAGGCAGTGAGCTCTTGAAATTGAAAATGGATCAGTGGAGTTTAAATGCCAACATTTGGCTTGGATTTTTAAAAAAATGAGGCTTTAAGTGGAATTTCTGTGAAGAAATTATTTTCAACTTAAATGTTTTACTTCTAGAATTTCATAAAATGCTATTAAGTAATACAGTACATATATTAAATATGAAGTTATTTGAGTTTTCTAACAGTTCACCACATCCAGGTCATGCTTTTTGTACATTGTATGAGTACTAGTTCTATCCAAAAAATAGTATTTTTAATATTATTTAAGTGGAATTGTGTTAACTCCACTTTCCTATTGACATTGCTACTAAAAATGGTGGGTTTTTCTTTTCAATTTTATATAATAAACCTTTTGAAACTCATTTGTTATTGCTAACACATTGTTCAATTTGAGATTATTTGTATTTGCATAATTATGTTATCTGTCAATAAAAATAGTTATGTCTTAATCTTGTTAACTAAGTATGGTGACTAGAATCTCAATAAAATGTTGAGTGGAAGTGATGAGGGTAGATTTTCTAATTTTTTTTTTAATTTATTTGAGAAAATTTTTAGATTATTTTACATACCAACCACAGATTCTCCTCTTATCCCTCCTGGTCCCCTTCCCTAGCCTTCCTCCACAGACCCACCCACCATCCCTTCCTCCAAAAGTGTAAAGCCTCCCATGGGGAGTCAGCAAAACCTGGTACATTCAGTTGAGAGATAGTTGATCTGGGGAAGGGATGGAGTGGGAGAGAAATAAAAGAGATTTCTTGTTAGAGGGGGAGATATTATGTGGTTAAGGAGAAAGCCGGGGCTAGGGAAATGACCAGGAATCCAGAAAGATGACCCCAGATTAGACTACTAGCAGTAGTGGAGAGGGTGCCTGAACTGGCCTACCCTAGTGATCAGATTGGTGAATACCCTAACTATCATCATAGAGCCTTCATCCAGTAACTGATAGAAGCAGATGCAGAGATCCACAGCCAAGCACCAGAGCAGCTCCAGGAGTCCAGTTGAAGAAGGGAAGAGTGATTTTATGAGTAAGGGGCTCAAGATCACAATGGGGAAATGTACAGAGACAACTGAACCAAGCTTGTATGTGTTCATGAACTTTAGACTGACAGCTGTGGAACCTACATGAGATTGGACCAGTCCCTCTGCATACAGGAAACAGTTGTGTAGCTGGATTTGTTTGACGGGTCCTGAATGTGAGATGAGCATCTATCCCTGGTGCTTGAGCTGTCTTTCTGGAGCCCATTACCTATGGTGAGGGTGGATTTCTTATCTCCTACACAATATTTTAGTAATGAGGATCCAGTTTTTCTACATTAATTATAATACTGTAATGCTTTCTAGAAACAGAGTTTGAGGAAATGTTATCTTGTTCCTATTCTGTTAAACATTTTAAATCATTATAGGGTGTCTGATTTTTTGGTCATATCTGCCTTTTGTTTCCACTGGAATAATCAATTTTAAAAATATTAATTCTGGTCTATCCAGTCTCTGGTTCCTAGGTCTCCAGGCAGTGCCAGGAGTTGGGTCCCTCTTGTGGCATTGATCTCAAGTTGAATCCATCATTGGTTGGCCATCCCTACAAATTCTATGCCACCTTTGTCCCTGTTCATCTTGCAGGACAAATTGTAGATCAAAGTTTTTGCAGCTGTGTTGGTTTCCAAGTCCCTCAACTGGAAGCCTCACCTGGTTACAGAAGTTAGCTGGTTCAGGTTCCATATCTCTCTTTACTAGGAGTCTTCTCTAGGGTCACCATCATAGATTCCAAGGAGTTTCCATTCCATCTCCTCAGAATGTCCCCCACCCCCTCAATTCCAGTCCTCTCTCCAAGTATTCTCCTTCTCCATCCCTCCACTCCCACCTTATATCTCCTGTTCCCATCCCCATCTGACCCCAGTCCACCTTCAAAATCTATTTTATATCCTCTTCCCAAGGGGAGCCATGCTTTTTCCCCCTGAGCCCACCTTTAATTTAGCCTCTCTATGTCTGTGAATTGTAGCATGATTATCATTTACTTTATAACTAATATCCACTTATAAGTGAGTATATATCATGTTTGACTTTCTAGGTCTGGATTACCTTGCTCTGGATGATTTTTATCTCTTTCCATCCATTTATCTGCAAATTTCATGGTGTCACATTTTTTAACAGCTGAGTAATACTCAATTGTGTAAATATGCCACATTTTCTTTATCTGTTCATAGACAAAGCCTAGTATAATGTTCATCAGGGAGGCTTCATCAGCAATGATAGGAGCAGATGCAGAGTTACAGCTAAACATTAGACAGAGCTCAGGGAATCCTGCAGAAGATAAGGAGGAAGGATTGTAGGAATCAGAGGGGTAAAGGTCATCACAAGAATACAACTCACAGAAGCAACTAACCAGGGTTCATTGGGGCTCACAGAGATTAAAGCAACAATTGCAGAGCCTGTTTGGTTCTGACCTAGGTCTTCTGAAAATATGTTATGGTTGTGTAGCTGAGTATTCTTGTAGAACTCCAAACAGTGAGAGTGGGGTCTGTCTCTGACTTTTTTCCTGTTTTTGGAACCTGTTTTCTCCTACTAGGTTGTAGCTGAAGTTTTCCTGTGTCTCAGCCTGCCAGCAGTCGGGACAAATTTCTCCCACTTGTATCCCCCAAGTAAACACACAGAGACTTATATTACTTATAAACTGTATGGCTGTGGCAGGCTTCTTGTTATCTGTTCTTATATCTTAAATTAACCCATTTGTATAAATCTATACCTTGCCATGTGGCTCATGGCTTACTGATATCTTACATCATGCTTCTTCTCATGGTGGCTGGTAGCATCTCCCTGCCTCAGCCTTCCACCTCCCAGAATTCTCTTCCTCCTTGTCCTGCCCACATTATCCTTCCTGCCTGGCTACTGGCCAATCAGCATTTTGTTTATCAATCGATCATAGCAACATATATTTATAGCACACAGGACATGCCACAGCACTAGGTTGCCTCATCGAGCCTTGATGTAAGGTTTTGTACCTATTCTTATTGCATTTTGTCATGTCATACTTGGTTGATATCCCTGGAAGTTTGCTCTTTCTGAAGGGAAACTGAGGAGGAATGGATCTGGTGGAGCATAGATGTGGAGTGGAGGGAGTGGAGGGAGGGGAGGGAGGGGAGGGAGGGGAAACTTCACTAATATGTGAGAGAAATATATATATATATTCAGTAAATATGAGAGAATAAATAAATCTTAGTACTGTTAACTTGTGTATTACATTAGCTAAATTATATATGCTAATACCATATTGAGTATTTCAGGGATAATTTGGCCTTAGTGTGTCATACATTTTTTAGGTAAGTGCTAGCTTTTGCTCACAAATATGTAGTTTAAGACTTCTCAATTGTAGTCACAAAATATATTGATTTCTCACATTTTCACAACATGTTTGGGTTTGAATTAGATTTTATGAACCATGGAATATGAAATCATGGTTATTTTATTTCTTCTCTAAAATTCCTTAATAGTGTATTTATGTTTTAGTTATAAAAACATTTATTTTTGTAGTTGTTTATAAATATACTTAAACATTCCACATTTGTTAATTTTTAACATTGAAACAGTATAGTGTCCCTATTTTCATGAAATTTTGCATGAACACATTCCAAATGCTTATTCAGAGTCTTTTTTTTTAAATATCTCGTTGGTAGTTAAGAGTTAATGAACTTACTTATGTTTAGGGAGTAGAGAAAATGAGATAGAGGGAAGGCTTCAGTGCTTAGGAAATTTGAGTTAATTTTAAAAGACAGAAAAGCAAGCCATTGTCTTGTGACATGGGGTGGTGACAGCTGAAACCATGACATTTTTACCAGGGCCATCCACTTTGCTGACATGATTCTTGTGTGTATCTACTTGGCATGAATAGACTGTTAGTGGATTTCATATTCTTAGAAGTTCTGCTTAGTTATTCATCCTGTCAATTCAAACTCACGAATCAGTGGATAGCTCCAAGTGAAAAGCCACAGTCCTCAACTGGGGCTCTCTGATCTGTGTTCCCATCCAGGATCTTGAGCCCGCAAGTCCCTAGTTTATTAATGTCTGAGTTACAGTTTTCTCTTATTAGCCTCATGAGGCTGACATAAGCTCTGATCAGGTTCTGAGCCCTC